TGCATCTGCATCAAAGAGTCCTGTAAATCCTTTAAAGTAACATAAGGTGGTGAAGAGGGTGGAGGAGTTTTAGCTCTCTGTTGTGTAGCCTGTACTGCTGGAGAGGCAACAGCTGACTTAAGTGCTGGAGGAACTGCACCTCGTTTAGAAGCCATTCTAAGGTTTAAAAATTTTTTTAATATACAGTCCAAAACAGTTAGAAATCAAACAAATTCTCCTTTAATTTTTCTTATTTTTTGGAGATTTTTCCTTAATTTTTAAAGATTTTTTACAGCTTTAACAATGTAGCCATCCACAACCGGAAGGAAAGTAAAAGTATCTCTTTAGAACAAAGAAGTGGCAAACCGCAGCCATTTTTTTTCTCCAAAAAGTAACTTTCAATTTTCAATCCTTGAGAAGAGTACTTTAAAGTCTGAGTCAAAGTTTTAAGTTCTTTATAAAAAAATTCAGACTTCCTAGTTAGCTCCGTCTGTGAAAGGTACTCACAATTAATTCAAAAAAAATCAGAAGTGGAGACGGCGTCTGGCTTCGCTTGCAGCGAAGACGTCCCGATCTGCGGAGAAGCTCAGAGCTCCGGAGGAGTTCTCACCTTCACCTCGCTGGGAAGACCCAGGGAGGCTAGGGAACTCGACTCCTACTCACGAGCAAGCTCTCCTTCTCTCCTTTGCCCGGAGAGAAGTTTCAAAGCGCCAAACAGCTGTTAAGCGCTGTTTCAGCACTTTTTACGCAGTCCTGAACGGGAGGCTGTCAAAACAACCCCCTTCGGCAGCCGCCGAGCCACCGGAAGTGTCAACCGGTTGAAAGTTTTGATTGATTAAGAGAACTTATATTTAGATATATTAATGATTTTATTTGAATTAATTTGATTATAATATTATATATAGATAGAGAGGGAAACTTCAAGAAATATTGTGTGAACTACAGAATATATTTATAATGCTATTGTTTTCTTTCTGTAATTGATCATCATATCTCCACGTTGGCTCTTAAGCTTCTGTTGGTGCAAAATGGAAAACTAATAAAAATTGTTTAATAATAATAAAAAAAAGAATTCCTCAGCCAGCATCTTAGTAATGATATACTGCAGTGGTGCCAGAGGCGGCACTCAGAGCCCTCTCTGTGGGCACGCGCGCCGTCGCCCCAGTCCTAGGCCTTCAGCTGGGTTTTATAAAACCTTTTCGCTTTAGGCCTCCACTGCCATTTGCAAAAAAAAAAAAAAAAAAGGTTCAATCAGTCAATTTCAACTTCTCACGGGAAAAAAAAGTTCTTGCAAAGTTGGAATTGATTGATTGAACTTTTTAGTGCCACCCAGTCTGCTGTTACCACCACAGTCACACCCACCCAATGGGCCACGCCCACCCAATGGGCCACACCCAGCCAATGGGCCACACCCACCCGGCACCCGACGATGCATAAGTGGGTTTTGGGTTGCAGTTTGGGCACTCGGTCTCTAAAAGGTTCGCCATCACTGATATACTGTATACATCAGACATGTCAAACCCGCAACATCACATGACGTCGCGCAACATATCGGGACAGTTTTGCCATTGCCGCCAATGGGGTGGGTGTGGCTTCTGCCGGCCCGCGGGCTGGCAGTTTGACACCCCTGGTATACATGATATGTATATGATTATATAATGATATAATGATCATAATAGCAGCCCTTCTTCCCTCACAAGCTCTGATGATATAATGAGAAGAAACTGTCTTTAGATACAAGGTCATGGGAATGAAAATCATATTACAGATGTTGACCAAAAGGGAAACACATTGCACTGGAACCCCGCACTGTATAATAAACTTCCTGTACTGCACACACTGATAACTAGGATGTTATGAAGAAGTTTTTCTGGTTTTCTTCCTTGTAGAACTATTTCCATGCTTTTTTCTTTTAACAAAATTCCCCTTGACAATTTGCATCTTTAAGAACACTTATGATTCAGAACTGTGATTCCTTACACAGAAATATACATTTTTTTAAAAAAATTCTTTGTTTATATTGGAAACATTTATTTATTCTGGAAATGTTCATTGTCCTGTCTCGGAATTCAGTTTTGATAGGTTTGCAGAGTCTCTGTGTACAGTATGTGCATCTTGTTTTCCTGATATCAGATAGGATCTCTTCCAACAGAGATGAACTTTGTGGCATGTCCGAATTTGCTAATCCTTCTTTTTAAATTCAGATATAGGTTAGAATACCCTGAACATGTTCTGTTCAAACCAGCTATCATTAGAACTGATTGCTTTTGAAGTTTATTTTTTCCAAACCTGGGTCAATAAAATAGGATCAACACTGCAGATAGGTTTTGTCAAATTATAGTTTTCTTTTCAGATGTGGCTGATCCCTTAAAAAATACAATGCAGGAGAAAAATTAGGAGAAAAGGTTAAGTAAAGCATGTCAGTTTAGGTTTTATCAACCCCACAGTTCCCCAATCACACAATTTATTCTAGTCTAGTCACTTTTACCACAGTTTGTGAAAAGGGCAGCAGGTGCAAGAGAAAAATTCATTTACTGCTAAGTCACAGTAAAATAGACATCTGGAATTCTCTATTTTTTTAAAAAATACCTAACTTTAATTTGCTTTGACTATTTCAGTTTAGTTATGGATGCTGGTTACCAAGATAATATTTGTAAATATTTCTTATACTATTATTCTGGGCTGACAGTCCTAACACAATAAAATGAATTTTATTAAGTAAAGAGCAAAATGAATCTTTTTGAAGACAGTAAGAACTAGAGAACCTGTCACAGGTTGACTTTTTCTTAAATGTCTCCAGGACCTTGTCTTTTATTTCAACCCACTTAAGTCAGAGTTCCCCCAAAATCTATTAATTATTCCTGTTTTCTGTTTGATGATGGGTGGTGGTGATGGTTGATAAGCTCTGGAAATGCTCTTTTTAATGTGGTAGTACCAATGTTGTGGAAGTTTCTGTCCCTTGAAACCAGGTTGGTCTCTACTTCATTATTTCAGGAAAATATTAAACAGTGATCTATTGAAGAGGGTTTTTGACATAGTATTGGTACATAGCACTGTCTACTTGGATGCTCTTTCAACAGATAGTCCTCAACTTTCATTTAATGACTGTTCAAAGTTACAACATCACTGAAAAAAGTAACTTATGACCATTTTTCAATCTTACAACAATTGCAGCATCCCATGATACATGAAATGATTTATGGTCTGGCCATTTTATTATTGTGACTGGATGAGTCTCTTCATTGTGTTGGGTTAAAAAAAATGGGACAAAGACAGACATCTCAGGTCCAATTGAGACGGTCTAAGGCTGTGTTTCTCAACTTTGAAAACTTTAAGTTGTTTAGATTTCAACTCCCAGAATTCCAGCCCCTTCAGTTGTAGCTATACCAAAGAGATGATAGAGGGGAAGAAAGGAGTGGAAATGGGTAAATCTTTCAGTTCAGTTTGCAATAACGTCAGCTGTTGTGAGAGCAGAGTGTCCTTCTAAGATAGCCACTAGAACTAGGATTCCCTGAGACCAGAGCTTGTGTGAATACAACTAAAGCATGTTAACTATAGTGCACTTTCTCCTCTTGATGGTTGGCTTTACATACCTTCCAACTAAAATATCTTGAGCTACACCACACTGCTGTGTTGTTTCAGAAGAGCTATTCATATTTAAAAGAAAAAGAATAAGACTTGGTGGCCATCACAAACGGGACCCTGATGTGTTCAGAGAGAATGAATCAAGAACAATTTAAGAAGAACAAGATTTCCCTCAGCTTAATGCAGGATAAATCTGGTCATCCCGTCTTTGAAAAAAGCAAAAATATTTAAAATGAAAATGAAGCCACACAAACTACAGAGATGTAATGCAACTTTTTGTTTATTTTTTAATCATTCAATTTAAAGCATGTGGTAGAGAAATTATTGCTGACTTACATAAAATTTAGGATATTCAGAGTTTTGGTTTTGTGCTGGCTGAAGGGTAAAGAGAAAAAAAAAGGAAAGCAGGGCAAATATCTAGGTAGGTTACAATGGTAGAAATTGAGCACAGATCATGAAAAAAGTGCAGGAAATGAGCCACAGGATCAGCAGAGAATGAGATCTTTTCCATGGAAGAGCAGCCATCTTGAGGGAGGCTCAATCCGATCAATTCATATCATCTTCAAATACTGTTAAATCTGACCTTCCTCATAATGCACAGGCAATCCGTTCTCACAAGCAATGACAATATATCTGAGTGAAGTGTTTTCCCTGTAATCACAAGGAGGTTTGGTGGATGATCCTTTCATCTTGCAGGTGGTGACCTGGAACTGCTTGTTGCTACGTCGCAATCTGTCATCAATAGCTACTCCACCAGTCCCGCACACATCAATGATGTTGTTCTTTGTGGTATGGATGAAGCTGTTCACCTCCTTACATTTGGGCTTGGTCATTCCACGTTTTTGCATCATTTTATTACAGTATTGATCTCCAACATTGCTTTTGGGATTATCATAGTGCTTGGTCAAGAAGTCCTCATAGGTCTGACCAAAGGTGCCCAGGATCGTGACAGCAGCCACGACTATGAAGAGCCCAAGGCCAAATCCCTTGAACAGCATGATCAGCTCTGCCAGAGAAGAAAGGGAGAAGATACATTAATATCTCCATTTGAAATATCTAGCACTGAAATGGACTTTTCTATTTTGGCTACGATGGAAAATATTTGACCTTCCATATTGTCAAATATGGGGGATTTTCCTCAGAAGCTCCTCCAGGGAATTTCTAAGGAGGCCACATCCCATCCAGTGGAAGGAAACTATTGAAAGTTTTCCAGACTCTCGTATTCAGACAACAACTACATCAGTTACCAAGCTGACTTTCTTTAGTGCTGAATGAAAGGGCTCTTCAAACATCCTTGAACTGGAAGTTCTATCAATGCAATATTGTAAAGGTATCTTGGGAGACAGAAGGAACAGCTACTGGCTAGGCAGTGGTCAGATAAGAGGCATCTGAGCCAGCAGAAGCAATGAGTTCAAGGCAAACTTCTTAGAAAGTTCCCTGGACTATAAAGGTAACGGAGGTGGAAAGATGTACTTTCAGAATTGCAAGGTACCATTAAGACATACTTACAATATGGATTGAGCTACTACTCCTGGGTGTGCCTCTTGTCTGGACTACCACACAAGGCAGAAAAATATTGGCTCTATTCCTTGGGAACCTTTACCTAACCTTTACTGCCTCTTTGTCGTCTATAATCACTGCATTCCTCTGAGTTCTCTCCCCGCAAAAAAATCTTTATATCCCCTATGACTATCCTTGGATAGAGTGAGAATTAAAGGGAAAATACTCCTTTAATGTTAGAACTTCAAGAACAACTGTAGTCTATCTCACTCATGAGCTTGGAAGGAGCTGAGATCCAAATCGTCAGGAAGGTGGGGCAGCCCTTCAATGTGGTACAAGCCCTACAAAGAAAGTAGCTTAAAATGAATCCCAGCTAAGTACTGACAAGCCTAATCCAGCTCAGTGATGAATAAAATCTCCCATAAGAAAATCATCTTGTCATTTTAGCCTTCTCTGGTCTTAGACTCACCTGAATATGATCTTGAAGAAGAGATGGGTTCTCAACCTTTCGTCTTCCTCTGTCCTTCTTCTTCAATGGTCCCATTATATAAATGGTCCACCTGCAAGGGAGGGGTGGAGCAGGAAAGGCCTGCAAGTGAGCCCACCTCCCAAAAAAGAGGAAGAGAGCATGGACAGACATTAATTTCAAAACAGGGAAAAAAGTTCACGTGTGCAAGGACATTTTGGAAGAGAGCGTGTTTCTGCATGAACATATTTCACAGTAGGATCTGAGCAATGCTGTT